TATTTTTAGCTCGTTTTATCCAAAGAACACACCACACTTATTCCATTCGCCGAACACTGCGACACGACCCCAAACAATCACATACATGATCTAGGTTATTACCAAAGTTGGGTGCACACGCTCAGCCTAGTTGAACTGCTGCGCAGCGTATCACCGTGCCTGCCGCAAAGTCTAAAAGGCCAACGGTGCTGTCGATGGACTCTGCGGTGACGCTTGGGGCGGCAGCAGCAATGGAATCAGCATGATGCACAAGTTGTGGCCATGAACAAAAGCGGAGAGTCGAGTTATTCGCTGTTGGTACGTACACCAAGGCTATAAACTGCGACCGGGGCGGCAACTCACGGGCGCTAACCCTCACGCGCCCCCGATACCCCTTCGCTGGGGGGGACGCGACCCCGACCATAATGCCATCTGACTAGAGTAGCGTTTTCCGGCTACCTGCCCTTGGTAGCTGATGACCTTCCGCTTGAAATACGTGCTCTGGGATCTTTACACTTCGTATATACACATTTCCTCCGTCAGTTATGCCTTCAAAATGTTGATAGATCAGCGCCTTTCTTTGTCATGGGCGGTAAGCATAGCGCAGGTATGCATCCAGTTTACGCGGGGTTGAACGGTAAGGACAGGCGCCGCAGGTGAATGGCTTACGAGTACCAGCCATGCGCAGTGTTGCATCGCGTTACCCGCTGTGTGCCCCCGAGAAGGGTGCCCATGGGTATACCCATGGGTATACCGATGGGCACCCATGGGTACAATGCCCATGGGTACCCATGGGTACCCACGCCCCATGGGTACCCATGGGCACGAATAAGGATAATGTACATCACCCTAAGCTTCTCACTCCGACAGATGTTTGCTGCGGTGATGGTATCATGCTACGGGTGGTGATGATGTGATTTCCAGATTTGGGATACTCTTATTATTCCTTAAGTGAACCTCACCTGACATCCCCTGCCGGGTGTACACAGCAGCAGCAGCAGGAGCAGTAAGGACGTTCCCCACAACACTTACGCATCGAAGAGAGGCGCGCTTCCTTCTCAGCAGAGGAGCTGCTGTGAAAGCGGAAAGCGAGACGAGCGAGAGAGGGGCGATCGCCAGCAGGGCGTACATACGTCACTAACACAAACTTGCAGATATACAGTAGGAATACATATAAAACAAAAATGCCTGCAACCTGGAGCCAGACATACCAGACAACTTGGAAGCATGACATGGGAACTGGGAACACTACCACTATTCCAGGCAATATCGATAAGGTCGGGCCACGCATCTACTCTCACATGCCTAGGCACTGAAGCAGCTTCAGGCTCCTCCACCCGACCTATGTTTGCTGCGGTGATTTTGTCATGCTGCGGTGCTGGTGACCTGATTGCAGATGTCCGACATGCAATCATTTTCGGAAAAAGAAACAAACCAAAATTCGGAAGTCGTCGTGCTCTTTGGTGACCCTTACCTGACACCCCCTACGGGCTGCACTTGGCCGCAGGCGCAGCAGTAAGGACTCTTCCGGCACCCGAGAATGGCACACGTCCGGCCGAGCGAGTGGGCCGCTGTGAAATCCAAAATCGAGCGAGAGAGAGAGAGAGGCGAGCTCGAGCAAGCGTGTACATATGTATGTACAGGTCTACGCATAGAGGGTCGCAACCTTGAGCCAGGTAAGTGAGACATGACTCGAACCATGAGATGCATACAACCAACCATGAACACACTGCCTGCGTTCTGACACTACATATCAGCGATATCGACGAAGTTGGGCCACGTCCATACTCTTCCAGCCTTGCTTTTGGAACATATCTTCAAGCTTCTCACTCCCAGACATGTTTCCTGCGGTGAAGGTATCGTGATGCGGCTGGCGGTGCGATGCGCACCGAACAAGAGGATCGGAAAAAAACGGGCGCGAAGTATGTTGCCGAAGTCAGAAGCGCAATTTCGTGAACCTCACCTGACATCCCCTGCGGGATATGCACAGCAGAAGCAGCAGCAGCATCGGCATCGAAGCACACTTCCGTCCCAGCAGAGACGCTACTGTGAAACCGAAAAGCAAGACGAGAGAGAGGGGCGAGCGCCAGCAGGGCATACATACGTCAAAAAAAAAAATGCGGATACTTGAAGAATAGAAATACAAAATACCTGCAACCCTGGAGCCAGACATACGACACAACTTCGAGGCATGACACGGGAACACAACAACTTTACCAGGCAATATCGATGAAGTCGGGTCACGAAGCTATTCTATATGCCTCGGTATTGAAACAGCGTCAAGCTTCTCACTCTGACACATATTATGTTTGCTGCGGTGATGGTGTCATGCTGCGGTGGTGCGTCAATACGAGCGGAAAAAATTGAAAATAAATTGCCGAAGTCAGAATGTCTCAAGAGGTTGTGCATGCCGTTAGAGAGAACAGCAGTGAGCAGACACGCAGAGGACACACGCAAGGGTTGGACACCCTCGCCCAGTTTCGTCCAGTTTTGTAACAGCGGCGATAAACAAGGCCGTAGAACAATCTGCATGTGATCGGCTGAGAGCGGTCATTCTTTTGACACACGTGCGGTTGAGTCTATGCTTTGCGCTGCACGTGTGCGTGCGTCAGAAAGTTTTCAATCCACTCACACGCACGAGTGGAGTGGGTGGCACCACTGCAGCACCAAGCCTGACAAGCAGCCCAGACACGCAACAGTGACTGCGAAGACTAACCACGAAACAGCAGTGCTCTCGGCCTTGAAGAAAACGACACCATCACCGATAGCAACGGATGAGAAAACGATGTTGGCGAATCTCGCTTGTACTGCTGTACATTGGGTACGGCTCGAAGGAAATGTACGAACATATCTAACGCCAATTCAAGCGGCCCCAACCAAATCACGATCATGCCACCTCATCCACGACCCATCCAGCTAGTTGAGCAGCAACGGAAGCACACGCCACCGTCAGCGAGCGACCAAAGCGCGGACAGTTTTCAAAGCAATGGAGGTGACAGCTTCTACTTCACGGGGGTTGAGCTGTTGGGGTTGATTGAGCTGTTGGGGTTCGTTGGACACAGATTTGCACTTCCGATAGGACATTTGCGGTGTTGACCTACTGCACGCTTGCATACCGATGGACTGGTGGAAGAAACCTAACTATCGACCCATCAACACACGAAACACACGAAAGTTACTTAACCCGAGTACAAGGTCATAAAGTACCGCAGTACATCGTGTTTGGTTCATCGGTACTGACTTCCAGACCGTCCGTGATGTGTGTGTGTGTGACTTCCACCCGCGTGCTGTAGTTCGTTCGTCGTGTGTTCACCAAATAAGAAACTTCATGGGCCCCGCGCAAGGCACACCTACCCGCGCCCGTGCACCTGCGAGGGTGGCATGTCCGACACTGCTAATCATGCATGTGGGGGGTAGACATGCGGGGCAGGTGCTGTGTAACATGATGTTGTGCGAGATGGTGGGAAGATGGCGGTGGGAACAGGGCGTATCAACGAACAACCCGCGCACGCGGGATGTGTGCGTGAAACACAGCAGTCGAGGAACGCATCTCTTGAAGCCTCTTTGTTGGCATTGCCGTACCTGTTTAGCGCTCCAGCCCAATCCAACGAGAGTAGTAGTCGACGCCGCCAATGGTACGTGTTTGTCGAGATGGTACTGGACGTCGAGCAGAAAGGATGAGTGGGTGAGGCAACCCTGTTTTCATGAGCTACTCCGTTACACAAGCACGGATAAAACCGCAATACAGTTACGGTTTTCTCACGGAGTCACGTTTTTTTCCCACGGAGTCACGGCATTTTTCTTTGTTTTTGTTCTACTTTCACAGCAGCCACACAAATAACATAATAACCTTGCCAACACACACAACAGCAGTCCGCGCCAGACACAAACACTATGACGTCCTCCGTTTCTGGAGGGATAACGGCAGCCCGCGTCTTGACCCCCACGGAAACTTTGTTTCTGCTGCGCAATTCCCCATCTTGTCCGTGCTTGCTCGCGTGTACCTTTGCGTTGACAGCACTAGTTCAGAGAGGGAGTTTTCGGGGCTGGGATTCGTGTACAATAATTTCCGGCAGTCGATGCTGCCCGACCGTATCGAGATGGTGATGTTTTTCAGGTCTACCCCCCATTTTATTCCCGAGATCATGAAGTTGGACACGGAGTTGGCGAAGCTGCTTGCAGCGCAGTCTGTTGGGAAGGCTGAAGCTGCATCTGTCGAAGCCGCTCGTGCGGCAAGTGGTTGTCGATGTCAGATCTGACTGAGTGAAATAGGGGCGTGTGTATTTTGGATGAATACACAAGAAGCCTGGTGTTACGAGAGTGCTAGCCCTGGTAAGTTTCAACGACAGGCGAATGCGGAATTATCTGCTGTTGTACGTGTTGCAGGAACGGATGACATGAGTCGAGGAGGTATCGATATGAGGAACGGTTCCTCTCTGAATAATAATTGATTAGTTGACAGCTGGTTTTTTGCTTTCTATATTTTGGGCTGTTTGGGCTGTCCTAGCGGCAAGGACGCATACGGTGTCACCGGCGGCCTCCAACCACAGCACACCGTGCGGAAAAATCGGTCTTCGGTGGACCGAACCCAACGTTTTTCACGAAATTGCAATTACTCCGTCGATTTTGTACGGATACCCGTGCGGTTTCGACGTTTTTTCTGACGGAAAACCGTGCTCAACGCCACAGTTTCACGCGGTTGATGCTACGGAGTAAGCGAAACCGCTCCGTGAAAAAAGACGCACTTCGGTTAAACCGCTCCGCTCCTCTCGGTGGCATGAACACAAAAAACGCTCCGCTCCGCTCCGTGGAACGTAAAAAAATAAAAACGCTACGCGGAGCGGTTCTACTCCGTGCACAGCCCTGAAATTTCGGTCGATCATATGCGTACGCACAACGACTGCTACACGTGTTCCTGCAAATCGTTCGTTATAGCTAGAGGGAGGCATTCGACACGCCCCATAACCGCGTTCGCCTCGCACCTGGCTGTCGAAGTTTTCCATGGCAACGAGCTCGTCCCCTCAGAAGCACATCACGTAGAACATCGCCTGGCACACCGAGTAGCACAGCGTGTGGTCCGGTAGCCGACTCTTCCTGCTGCTCCTGACGCCCACCCCACCGCTGCCGCCGCCCCCCGACCTCGAGGACACCCCAGACATCGGTGCCTGCATCATTCCGCCGCCGTCGCCGCCGTTAGCGCTCCGGCGAGGGTGGTTTCCGTGCCAGGACCGTGGCCTTACCCGGACGCGGGTCGCCACAGGGGTCTCAAACCCCTGGGAAGGGGGAAGCAGCGAAGGAGGTTGAGGCTGTGATAGCATGCAGAGAGGTTGCAGGCTACAACTCGAGGTGCTTGATGCTTTTTTATTTTTTGGTGCTTAGCCGGGGCGTCCGATGTCTATTCAACCGCGGGACGAAGGAACATGTGGCGTAACGTTCAAAATAGGCGCGCCTTCGTTACCATGCTATAGCACAATAAAAAGTGGCGTGTATAGACAATGTATTAGGTCACACGTCCATGTGCTCGGGTGTGACCGTGCGTTCGCACGTAGATACAAAGTGGTTCTTCTGTGTGGGGCCTGTAAGCTCCGTTTTCTTCTTGCATGGCTGGCTGGCGGTAATGACTTAAGCAGCATTGCAAACGAATATGTTCGAGGCACGTGCAAATGTTGGGTACCTTCATCTTCATTGGCTTCTGTTCCACTGACACTGACACAAACCTTCCGTAACTTATTGGCCGCCGAACCAACGCCGACGCCGCCCATAACATTGGCATGATATAATCCTTTTGACAGGCGCACATGTACACGCTAGTATACGTACGTGCGGAACCCGCAGGAGGAACGCTTGGCAATTTCATGTCGCCTCTTCTGCATTCCAGACCTCACACGGTCCCGTAACAAACCTTCTGACACACAATCTCCGCCGCTCCCCCCCGCTAACGAGGGATTCCGGGGACTAGAAGGCCATGCTCATACCTGGGGTCTCGCGCCAAGACTACGGTGCTTTCATTGGCCAGGAGGTGAAATTAGGCTAGGTAAGCGCGACCGAAGCAAAAAATATTTAGCGACAAACACACAACTCGTGCACCTTGGAGCTCGGAGTTCCACGCGCTTGTACCGGCGCTGCTGTCGAGGCGTCCACGTGCTCGTCCACGTGCTGGTCCAGGTACTGCCCTGCCCAGTCCAAGAGCGATTGTACGGCAGTGGCGACCACGGAGGGGTCTACGAAGGAAGCCCTGCCCAGAGATCTGGCAAGGTACGCCACGCTGCTCTGGCGAGCCAACTGAAAAAGAAATACAAACGAGGAGTTTGATGGAGGATAGGGGCAAGCATGCCACATTTAGTGGATGACACGGAGGATAGGAAAGGTGGAGTCCTTGCACTTATTTCCCGCAAATTATAGCGAAGAATATTACAGTAGGTGAAGTTGTTGTTGTTGTCTTCACATTAAGTGGTTGGTCTCTCGGCAAAGCACAATAACAAAAACAATGCAGGTCACGAACGGGAGTAATTCGGCATGTCTAATTACACCAGCCTGCCTGACCTATGCATACGACACGGCTACGTCTAGAAATACCTTTCATTCAAGCGCACCGCCGTGCACAGAATTAGCTGCCTGCGGCAACAAGGGCATTCCGTCCAATCTCTGGCGAGCCAACCAGGGAGACACGAGACCGCTAAGACGGGGAAATATCCCCCTCAGTATAGGGCTATGTACAAGGGTTGAGCATGAAGCAGCATTTCCGAGTACCAGCAGAAATTCTTGCGCGGTGTGAAGGCAAAAGCGTGAATAGCCGGACATTTTATTACATGTTGAGGCAACCCGACTTACTCGTCAACCATCTCGGTTTCAATGTCCTCGACGGGCTGCTGGAACTCGGGGGTGCTCGACACGTTTGTCGCAGAACTGGTTCGCGTCGTAATCGCCCAACCTGAACGGTTTGTCCACCACACAAGAAATGATAAGATATTCTAAGTCACAAGAATCTCACACGAAATACAAGGAAGAGGCAGAAAACTGCAATGTAACGAATGGTCGAAATTGTATGGGAGGTTGGGGTCACACATAGATCTTGAGTTTTTCGAGGTTAAATGTCTTCACTTGCCAACAAGGTCTGATTGTATTTAGTGTGGAAGCGTGTGTGGAAGTTAGGATATCGAGATTCAAAAGGCACAGACACACGTACATAAAGAGTAGGATCCTAGGGATATGTGACAACAGATCACTGTTCGTCCCAAGGGGTTATCGCTCTTCCGATTCCCAACAGTTGCGAATGGTTGATGAATCTACACATGGAGGATGGGAAAATGAGTCCACGAAGGCTCAGCCACTCTCCGCAACACCCTAGCTTGACTGAGTTCGCTCGGTCACGCTTGGCATTCCTCGCCACATCGCACCAAACGAAATAGCCAGCCTCCGGTGGCAGGGCATAGCCACCACACTCCGGACTCTCCGGTCACCCAGAGGACAGAGTTCCATATTGGCGTTCGACGAAGCGTTTTCTCTAGGCAACCCACGAACAACCAAACATGGGAACCAAAAGAAATGCACAATCGCAACCATCGCAATAGCCGAAGCAGCCGAAGCAGCCGAAGCAGTTGAAGCAGCCGCGTCCCGACGCTGCTGCGCCCACCGCGAAGCCCGCGGCAAAGCCCCAAACGGGACAGCCGACACCGAAGGAAGCTGGCGACGCCGCCGGCGCTGTCGCGAGCGTAGCAACCTCACAGAGCAGTAGCAACAAGGCAGAGTAGGCAGGGAGGACAGGAAAAAAGAAGCACAGCACAGAGGCCGAAGGCAACACGAAGGACATACAGGAGTACAGCATACAGCAGGGAGGGGAACAGGGCACAACAACATCAGCCGGGTACATAGTTCGCCACAGGTGCTGCCTCGGCCGCCCTACTCGCTTCTACAGCAGTGCCCGGTCGCCGTTTCTTCCCCCCCACCGCCGCTTCCCCGACTCTCTTTCTCTTCGGTCCCGGGACGACCGTACTCTCTGCTTCTGTTTCCCTCGCGCGGTGGCGCTTCGCGAACGCTTCCTCTTCCTGTCTGCGCGACTTCCTCATGAACCATGCCGCCCCGTCCTCGACCTTGTTGTACCACGCCTCCTGGTCCTTGGCGCTCTCTTTCCATTTCCCACCTCCCTTTTCGTCTCCCATGTTAAACGCCACGAGGTCCTCTCCTAGACGAGACACCCAGTCACTCTCCTGCCCGCCCCGGTATCCCACGCCCCCCGCCATTGCTCCGAGCAGCATGCGCTTGGAGGGGCGGTTGTCCTCCATGCGCATAACAAAGCCCGCGAAACACAGTCTCCGCTTGCGCACGGTGGCCTCGATGGTTTCCTCGCAGCCGGCCTGGATGAAGGCCTGGGCATAGGCAGGGGACATTCTGAGCGTTTCCGCTTGCTCCAGCCGATGCAATGTGTCAGGAACTGGCGGTGGGTCCCATTGCGCTTCGTGTAGAGCTCCGCTGTTAGGCTCCACGAGGCGCACCCGTATAGGAGCACCACTTCAGCCTGGAGTAGCCGGATCTTCAGCTGGCGGTCGGCCCGTCGCTTGTCGTACATCGAAGCACTGTTCCGGCGGTAGCACTTCCACGCTCGGCAGCTGCGGCTCGAGATCTCCCGGTCGGCCTTCCGGTCCGCGCCGACGGTACGTCCGAGGTACACAAACCGATCTGTCTGCTTGACGTCTGGGCGGCGGCGCTGACCGCGAACAGGCGTTCCTCCATCCCTTTGGGTAGCATTCACATAATCTCCGGCTTTCGTTCCGATACCATCAGTCCGAACAGGCCGGCCACGCGTACGATGCATCTTCTCCGGACTCTCCGGCGAGTGCGAGACAATGGCCGCGTCGTCAGCGTAGAGCATGGCCCACAGGGCCTCTGCGTCCGTCGCCGCCGTCGTCTTCTTCCCCGCCGACCTGGCCTTCTTGCCCGTGTACTCCACTTGTGTCCCGATCTTGACCATGTCCGCCGCCACCTTGGGTGCTTGTCGAACTCGGCCACTGCGACAATGAGCATCGCGGCAAAGAACAAGTTGAACAGCAGCGGAGGCCTTGGCCCACGTCGAACCTTTCCGAGTACTGCCCGTCGTCCGTTCGGACGCGCGCCCTCACGCCCTCATGCAAGTGGCGAATGACCGCCATCATCTTCGGGGGCACGTCGAAGCGCCGGAGCACGTCCCACAGTAGGTCTCGGTCCACCGAATCGTACTTCATGGTGAGGTCGACAAAGCACGCGGAGACCACAGTACTCTTCTTCCTCGCGAACTCATGCAGCCGCTGGATCGCTAACAGCATGTCGAGCATCCACCGGTGTGGGCGGAAACCGCTCTGCTCCTCATGGACGATACCCTCTCGCTCGCAGGCGTTTGTCTTTCTCTGTCTGCGTCTTTCTCCTTCTCTTTCCGGTCCATTATATTTTCGTATATCTCTTTGGGTAAATTAGCCTGTCACCACGGGCATCGACGCCGTCAAGTGATAGACTAGTACGGAACAGCTTCTAATGTGGAGACAACAACAACAACTACTTCTACACAACCATTCAGGGTCACACACGATGGGGTAAACACCGGGGTTTTTTCCTTCTGTGTTTTATTTAGTTTTCGTGCCCCACCTTCCCCCTGCTGTGCGTGCTGAGTTTGTTTTTATCGCGAGAAGGGTCCAGCCGTCCCTTTCCCTCGTTAACGGTGCTAACGTCGAAGGTTTTTGTACTCACGAGAGGTTTTCAGCTATGTCACGGTTTCACCCGCAAAGTTTGCAATATTTTCACACCCCATGGGAATCGAGATCACACGACCTTTGCAACTAGAGATTTTCGAGGATACCACTAGACCACCGGGGCGACCGGCTACATGAGCAACAGTAACAGCAACGATTCGCGTTCAATCTTCTCCTCCACTGTGGGCGAACTTGGCCAGATGATTTTTTTATTCTCGTTATTCTTCGGTCTCTCTTCATACATGTGTGGTCAGCGCTTCTTGATTCATCTCCCGTCCAATTGTTTCTTCTCGGTCTCTCCCATCATCGTTGTGGCAATCTGGTGCAGCATAAGTTGTACTACATACCTCTAGGTTTCATACGTACGTCTGTTCCATCCATCCTCGCCTACAATACAACAAGTAGGCTACACATAGTGTCATGAAAACTACATAATCATGGAAGCAAGGTTTTCTGTCGCAACATGTCCGAACTGACATAACTTTGAGGAAACAAATGGAGCTCGAAGCACCTGTCAACTACGGTGTACATCTGACCAAATCGAAAGTCTCCCTGGGACGTGATGAATGTAAATCTGCATCGCCATGAAGCTGTGGACAACGAATGGTTGAATTTTGACTTGCTTCTTTCTGTGAACATGATTCTTCCCAGGCTTGTTTCTTCGCATGCTTAACAATTGTTTTTTTATTGACGTTGTGCGAGCAGCGTTCATCATTGCATTCAAAGCATCGAACAATGGTTGAACGATTGCGCGTGTTCGAGGCAACACCATAGCACCGTCAACGCAAACGCCCTCCATCAGATCGCAGGCTCGGCGACAGCAGCAACGAACAACAGGGATCCCGAAACTCTACAGTTCGTTCGCAACAAGAGGTGGGATATTCCATGGCCCTTTCGCACTACCTTAGCTGGACAGTAAGAATGCCTACGACACTTCGCACGATCTGTAGCACCCTCCCCATTTTAGAAAGTACGCATAATCTCACAGAGAGCCCACCCCATTTTTTTCAAGGGTATCTTCTGCAGGTCTGCAAGTTGGCAAGTTTCTGAAGAATATCGGGAAGTGTCACACGAGCTTCAGTAGAAATAACCCGGGTATACACACCGGCCCTGTGCCCTCTTTCCTTCCTTGACGACGCCATCCATCTCCTGCAGTCCGTGCGATACCTTGAGGTGCGAGTTGACGTTGCTGCGGTCGCCTATTGAAGGGGGTCATCCTTCGCTCTCGGCGGCATACTCGAAGGGCCTGTTCTAGCGTAAAACGTGGCTCCTGTAAATGGAGCACCCAAGTTTGATGAACCAAATTGGAGTTTTTGCCATAGAGGGCTTGCGTCGTTATAACGAAATTTTGCAACACCTAAATGACAATCGAGGTGAAAACACCCGAATGCGGCGGAATCACTGCCGCCAGGTGACTTGGGCACTGAACAGGCAGGTAGAGCGATAACAATTGTGCACCACACAGGAGCTGTAAAAACGTATCAGCAAACACAAGAAGGTAAGCATCAGCGGGCGGTGCCAGCGGTTCAAGCTTATCCTCAGGCAGACATTGGAAAGCAACCTCCACGGCAACCTAACCAGTACGAAAAGTTGACACGCGCACAGAAATATGGCAATACA